TCGTGCACATCCATGACAAAAGCCGCTTTGGTCTTTCAAATGTGGGCTTCTCTACACGAGGACATTCATATTATATTCTGTTACTCATATTGCATAGTTTAAGTTTGAACCTGCTCTCATCTTACCTGTAGATTTTTTCTATATGACTTTTTTAATACTGAAAATGTATCTTTCACTTTCTTTTCTTCCATCATTTCTACTTATTTTTCTCCAGACCTTTATCTTAATTTAAGCATAGTGAGTTTCAATTCATATAGATATCAATATTGATTCGTTTTTCCAAAATTGCATAGAATATGGGAATCCATGTGAAGAAAGATTGTTCTTTAAATAAAAACACGTGAAAAATAAAATATAAATTAATTGAGCATTGATATTTATAAATACCCACATATGAAATTCATGGATCTGAATGAATCATTTTTTGAATTAAATAAGTATTTTAAGTAGATCAAAAGTAATGCATGAGAGTATTTGTTTCTTTTACTACTATTATTATTATCATTTTACAGATCTGGATAATGTGGAAGGCATTGCTGTGGACTGGATAGGAAATAACCTGTACTGGACAAATGATGGCCATCGGAAAACCATCAGTGTGGCCAGGTTGGAAAAGGCTGCTCAGAGTCGGAAGACGCTCATAGAAGGAGCAATGTCTCATCCCAGAGGGATTGTAGTAGATCCAGTCAATGGGTGTGTAACGTTTATCAGTTTAATATAATAAACATTACATGAAATGCATTCATTTCTATGTGATTTTACATAACACGTTTTGTTTAAATTTATATGAACAGTCTAATTGTGAAAAATCACTCAATTAGAGATTTCCTCTCCCAGAGAAGGTTCAAGACAAGATAGACTTGTCAAAATATATTGAATGAAATTAAACATATTATTTGTATAAAATATGTATTCCATAATTTATTCAGAAATTATCATAATTTTCACATTATACTATTTGGCATTCAGGCAAATAATCAATCAGGAATCAATCAATTAAATTTTTGAATGGTATTAAAGTCTGATCTATTAAATATAGCTGATTGGGTTTTAATTTTTATACATTTATGGTGTGCCAGAATTTTTGCTAGCTAGATCAAATTTGTTGCTGCTTTCCCATTTTATAAACTGGTGATTGATCTATAGATCCAATAACTAATAAGAACCTGGGCAGATTTTAAGCCGAGGCAGTCTTTCTCTAGGAACTTAATCTTGAGTATTTAGTCTACTGCTTTTTACAGGGCTTGGATGACCACAAAATTTTCAACAAAAGTACTGTTTGCATAAGGTGGCCTACTTTAGGACATGGGCTATATTTTATAATGGAATATTATATGAAATTCTTAGTGATATGACTTCCTTTTAATTATATTCAGTGTTATTACTTGAAAAATAAAATTGTACACATAGAATATTTTTTTAAAGTGAAAACCTCGACGCACATTTCAGAAATCATTGAATAGATTATATGTTTTAAAAGTACAGGTAACTTTTTCTAGGCAGTGTGTAAATGCTATATGTTTAATAAAATAAAATGATACAGTAATTATAGTGACTTATACACGAATTATGTAATTCTCTGATCTATTTCTGGGCCTTTAAAACAAGTTACCCATATAGCCATTATACCAAAGTGGCTTTGTTTTAAGAAAACATATTTATTTTACATTGTCCAAATCTGCTTAGGGCTATAAGTTTAAAGCATGTCCAAAACAGTATCTTTCTTCTTAGTATACTATTAGACATAAATGGTCCTTCAATAGAGTTAAAAAGGTCTTTGTGTCCCTGAGGCCACTACAGATTAAGAAAAAAGAAGTAGAGGCTATTAATCCCATGTGTCAATCAAATGAAGGGATCTCCTTCCACACATCCCTTGACAGGTAGGTTTCCCACTTCTGCTTGAAACAGAGCAGCTACCTTGATCATTCTATCTGGAGGTGATTCGGATTGATATGAACATTTGAAGTTAATATATATGTATGATTTGGTGGGGATGTGTGTGTGTATATATATATTCCTGAAATATTCATCAACAAACTGATACTATATTTGCCTTTGGAACCACAAAGAATGGCTCTAATTCTTCCAGGCATATCTGCAAATAGAATATAACTAAAAAAAACAATCTCAGAAGCACATGCGTAGTGAAGTAAAAAGACATAGTATTAAACCTCTTCAAGGGGTGGATGGTATGGCATGAGTCATGAATATGCACAATGTCATTTCAGCAGAACACAGGATGGAGGAAAGCATGATAGTTGGGCATGATGGAGACTGAGAGTTAGAAACTTACTGAAATAAAAAAAGGTTTATTGGCACATATTTCACACGTCATACAATTCAATAGTTCAAGCATATTAAAGGTCGTTGCACAATTATCTCCATAATCAATGTGAGGACATTCGCTTCCTTCTTCACTCATTGTCATCAGTTCTCCCCTTTCCCCCAACTGCACAGCCATGCCCAGTGTCTGTAGTATCCTGGGTTTCATAGACAGGAAAGCATAGGAGCAAACCACAGAGAAAAATGCCTGTTGAAAGGGCCTCTTTTAGATATGTTACGTACCGTAAGAGATAGACCCAGCCATGGAGAGCTGAGGAAGGAATGTTTCAGATTAAGAAAATAATGTATCTAACGCACTTAAATTGGGCAAAACTTGGATGCTAGCGGCCCTGAAAGGAACACAGTGGGACTCAGAGACAGAGCATTTGACAGACTAGTAAGAAAGTACATGCTGTGCTTATTTATTACCTACAGTAAACATTTTCACACAGATTTCAAGTCTTTGTGAGAGTGTCCATTATAGATTAGCAAGTAAGCCAAAACAAGCTCATGTGTTTCTTGCTTGCTGGAGACAATGTTCTTGTCAAGGCTTCTAACTTCACAAAGGCTTTGCTTCCGTAAGAAGATGATGGCAAGTCGGGAGAGAGACAGATGCCAGGTTTACCTCAAAGCAGAACTATTGTCACAGTGAAAACATTGTGCAGTTGTTCATCACGGATGAATAAATAAGCACAGGTAAGGCTGTGCTTACCTTATTCAGGGGGTAACCCAGCTATCATGGGACTTGCTTTTAGGCAACAAATGGGAAAAAGTGTCTGCAGATGCAATGAGAAAGAAGAGCAGGTTCTCCAGCAGCGACAGGAGCTTTGTGTTTCACTCTGATTATAAAATCAAGACGTCCAAGTAATCTGATCAGATTTACATTTAACAAAACCTTCTTACTAAGAAGAAGGTCATAGATAAGGAAATGAAGCCTTGCAAATGTAATTGTTCAAATAATTGTTTAAGTAATTGTTGAGAATGGAGACAATGTTCCTACAGCACACTTATATCATTCAAATTATCTACATATTTTTTCTGGGTGATTAGGAAAAGGGAAATGAGAAACTGATTTATTTCATTTTTTTCTGTTTGAAACTGTACACAGAAGGCATTTTCTATACCATAATATCTACTAACAAAAATAATTTAATTCAGAATAATGCTTTGTCAAAATCTTCATAAACAATTTTATGGAATGAATAGTAGTTATGTTCATCGAATTCTTTATTAAAGTATATCATAGAAAACATCAATAAGATAATCACTTTCCTCAAGGAGTTTATAATCCAGTGTACACACACAATATAATAAAATAAAAAGGAATGAGTGCTTCTCTAAGCTTCACTGAGAGGTTTTATTTGGAATCATTAATATTTTCCCATGAATAGAGTTCGTGTTCTTGGCTGGACAATCACAAGATTAGTCTCTGTCCTCTGTTTGGATGACAATTTTACAGCCAGAGAAATTCATGAACAGTTTACAAATGTAATGAGCTCATAATAGCTAGAGCAGATGAAATGAGAAATATGCTGACATCTTCAATGTTGTGATAAGACATCTGTATTTATTTTGTTGCCAGAGGGGTAATTGAGATGTTTTGAAGATAAAAACCACATTTTCACTCTTGGTTACGGAAGACACTGATGACAGCCTGACAGCTCTATGAGAGACACAAGAGATGTAAAGATGGAAAGCCCATCTGGAGGTCCTCTGAAATGGATGAAAGTCAGAACTGGAGCACTTTTAAGAATAGAGAAATAAAAGATTGTAAAAGAATAGGATGGGCAGACCTTGTCAGTTGTTGAAACAAAGTTGGAGGAGAGTTTAATGGCACTGTACTTCAAGCTGATAACTACAAATATGTCTCACAATTATTTATTTATATTAATAATTTAGAACTATCAAGCTTCAGTTCTGCATTCTCAAAATATTTATCTATAAAAAAATACCAAACACTGAATTTCTCTTCTGTTTTGCAAAATTAATATAGTACTATGTGATTTCATTTATTAGCTAGATCTTAGATCAGCAACAAAATTGAGATTTTGTACCAGAAAACAAATTCATTATACTTCCATGTCAGAGAAACTTTTTAAGTGTTTAAAAAGATCTAGGTTAGCCAACATATTATACAATTCAAATCGGGAGCATGAATAATATTAAATAGATGAGTTATATAATCAGAAGGTAAAGACTCAGGGAAAGATAATGGCAATTTAACAGTTTGTAATGTAACAAACATTATACAACTATTTTGATTAATTATGTTTAAAGCGATTTCAGATAAATGACAGAGGTGAAAAAGTTGCATATATTACATCATTTTTACATAATTTACTTGGCTGTTGTCAAGTAGTTATATCTACTTAGTATAACATTAGGAACAATGAATTGATTCTTTTGTTTGGGCCTAAATTATGCAAATATAAAAATTCTTGAAGGAAAGATCACAAAACAAAACAAAAATGCACTCACTGCCATAGAATCCAGTCTGACCTACCGTGACCCCACAGGCTATGCTAGAACTGCTCCTGTGGGTTTCTGAGTCTGGAACTCTTTACACCGGAGTAGAAAGCTCATCTTTCTCCCACTGAGCCACTGGGGGGTTCAAGCTGCCGACCTTGCTGTTCCTGGCCAGCAGGCCACCCCTCACATCACAGTGTTCACAGGAAACCAGAAAGGCAGGTTTCTATGTTTCTGTCTAAGTTTAGAACATAGTTGGTGGATACCCTGTTTCCCCGAAAATAAGACAGTGTCATATTAATTTTTGCTCCCAAAGATGCGCTAGGTCTTATTTTCAGGGGATGTCTTATTTTTCCATGAAGAAGAATACGGTACACATTTCTTATTGTTTTATTAAAAGAGACCTCACACTTCCTGTCTGCTCCAGCTGTGCTGCGGCCAACAGTGAGCTGCGTGGTGGCGCCCGCCGCTATAGTCCAGGGTCCAGAGTTATGGTAGCTTCGGGGGGGCCTTCTTTTCGAGGAGGTCTTATTTTCGGGGGGATGCCTTATATTTCAGCGAGAGGCAAAGCTGTAAGTAGGTCTTATTTTCCGGGGGTGTCTTACTTTCGGGGAGCAGGGTAGTAGTCAATAACTTCAATAATCTCTGGGTCCAGTAAAGTTAACATGAAGTCGATTGGTGACTCATGGTGACACTATAGGCGCCAGGGTAGAACTGTGCTCCCATGGCTTTCAGTGGCTGATTCACAAGCCTGCTTCTGAGGAATAATTGGTGGGACTCGAACATTGATGCACTTGATTTTCAGCCTGTCACGTTATTTTTCACTCTGAGAAACTCAATATTCTTCATTGAGTCAAAAACCAAATACAAACAAATCATTTATTCATATATAAAAAGAGATGGCGTGCTATACTTCAGTTATCCTAACCGTGACAGTTTAAAACAGAATTGGATTTTTCATAACAGATATTGAAGTTCCCTGGATTACTTCAAAAAATATTCAAAGCTTATAAAATATAGGAGGTGGGGGATGTAATAATCACTTCTCAGGATCAACAGCTTATAAATGCTTTGGGGCTTTATATAATTATATATATGGTGACTGAATCAAAATCTACAACTTAGCTAATAATTTACATGACCCTAAAACAACACATGCAGAGTGTTTTAACCTTATTCATGGGGGATTTGGAGTATTAAATCAAGGCCCCTTCTGTCATTGTTAGAGCTTACACATTTTTTTAAGACAGATGCTTTTGTTTGAGATAGAAATTAGAGCTCAAATTCTCAAGGTCAGTTAACCTGCTGTTATTAAACTTATCCCAGCTAAATCATCTTCTGTGGGTTTTGGGATAATAATAAGCAGCAATAAAGCATAGATAATTTGCATCAAGGAAGACAAATTAGACCTAACCAAACAAACCCAGTATAACTGTGCCCTTTAGAACAAGGCGATCCAATTATCTGTCTTTAAAAAATAATTCATCTGAGATTTAAAAAGGTCCAGAAAAGATCATTAACCATTCCATAAGTTCTTGTGTCAGTCAATCTGCTTTTTTAACCACATAATTGATTATGTTCTTTGTCAAGTGAACAACATTTAAAACTAGTTAGTAATTCTTCAAAAAATAATCACTTGCCAGACTTGGTGCTAACACCAAAGAAAAGATGTATTTGACACTTACCATTCAGTTAATTGATACATGGAACTAATAAGCCTGATGGCTTTTGAGTACTGTGTCCACATGGACTGTTTTCAGTGAACAACACTTCACTTTCGTCAGTAAATACCCCAACCTGCCCACCTTCCAGCAACAGGTCTGCAATTAGAAGAGAAAATCCACTTGTTATTATTGGGTACAGAGGTACCAAATCCAAGGGAAGTGCCTGTCTATGAGGTGTCTGGCTTAAATACCATGCCTGTGTTCTTGTTTGTGACGCCCTAGTTGGATGTATTGGACAGACTGGGAAGAAGACGAAATCGATGACAGCGTGGGAAGGATTGAGAAGGCCTGGATGGATGGCTTCAGTCGGCAGATTTTTGTGACTTCGAAGATGCTGTGGCCAAATGGTTTAACTCTGGACTTTCACACCAACACATTATACTGGTGTGATGCCTATTACGATCATATCGAGAGAGTTTTCTTGAATGGCACTCATAGGCAGGTAAAAGACAAATGCTGCTGTTTTTAACCCACGGCCTTCTTCTATTACAGAGTCTTGTTGTTTTGTGTTAAAAATACTTTCAAGTTTATTTTTACCCCTCCGAGGTGGCTGCCAATAGTCTCTGTGGGGTGGTGAAAGGAGGCTGAGCATTAAGCAGTGCAGTTGGCACTTGCCTCCAGGAGCCCAGATCTCGCTCACTGCGGTATGCCGGGATCTGTGAGGTTTTAAAAAGAAGCTCCCAGGAAGGCTGAACTGTTTTAAAATTCAGTTTTTCTACATTATTGAAGAGTTTGCTGTGACCGAGCGACTCAATTCAATTCAACTATCTCTCATATTCTCAGCTGAAATGTAACATAGTATAAAAGTGTGATGTATTGCAATGAATTTATTTGAATAAAGAATGTCACGATATTGAAATTGTAGCTCATGATAATAATGAACTGAACTTCAAGTCGATTGCTTTGAGCAGATACCAGCTTCCTTTTATTAAACTGTTTTTGGGGTTCAGCATTTTAAAATGATTTTGAACTTCTTGGGCAAAGCTGAGCATCGTAGGGTTGACTGTAAGGCAAAGCCATGGTTCTCAAAATAGATTCTCTGTGTGTTAGCTTATAATTAACCAAATGCATGTAGCAACATGAACTGATGGTCTCTAGTACTTAAAACATTACATAGTGCAATATTATAAAATACGGACATTCTTTCCCCAGCCTATGCTTTTTGCTAATTTGCAAAAAGAACACTGCACACTTGACCAAGCCCACCCATTATGAATTCTGTTTAGAAATCAAATACTGCAATCTCCTTCTGTCCATTTCAATATTAGTTGGCTATGTTGAACTATAGCAGTGCTTTAAATATCTTCTCCAAATCAGTAAGACTAGTCGGCATTTAACCTAAAGCCACTTCCAAACGAATGCTGAATAAATATTTGATTCATTTAAAGATGGTGGCATGTAAAAAATGTTCATAACATTTTTAAGACTAGCATACTATAGCCCTCATACTGGTGAGAGAATTTAAAAACATAATAAACATCCAACTATTCAATATGTGATCAATTGGCATGAAGAATTCAGATGTAAGATGTAAAAGTTGCAAGATGGAATTTATTATCTCAAATTACTTGGATAGACTTCTCAGCTCCCTAATATATAATGAAATGAATACAAAATTTCCTTCCATATTGTATGCAATATACATTTTCAAATAGTATAAGTGGGTAGTAATCAAAAGGCAGTATTGTTATTATTGAAAGTATTATTCTTTATTCCGTTTAACAATCTGCAACATGTAAGGGGAAGTTGAATATTACCATGATTATATAGCATGATTGCTTCTTTAAACAACAATAGCAAAAACACATGACTGAAATATAAATTGGTATATAAAATACAAATTAATCCATGAAGCTCTTTGAGCTATACTGTGTAAGCAACATTTCTGTATTCAAGCCCCAACCTTACCCCATTTCATCTCCTAGATTTCCTTAAATTTCACTGATCATATTGAATTTGGAAGATCCTTTTCCCTCCAAAGCCATTAGACTATGCGACGAAGTTTGACTAGTGCAAAACACATAAGAAGCTAATTTGATCTGCTTCTGCCCAGGATTTGTTTGGTCTTGGAGTACCATAAAGAAAAAGATCATTTAGACAGGAATAAAAAATGATCTAAAGAATATCCTTAAAAGAGAAAAATTATGGTTACATTTTAAAAATTCATTTTCATAGTTTATTTTTATGTTTAAAATATACTGAAAGAAAATATGGGATGCCATAAGAATTATATCATTGTCTACTAAACTTTGAAACACATTGCTTTCTATAAACAGTTATGTCTTTAATGGTCAGCTCTTCTTGCTCACTGTTTGTTTATCTTTCACAGGTTGTTTACAGTGGGAAAGAGTTGAACCACCCATTTGGACTGTCACATCATGGGAATTATGTGTTCTGGACTGATTATATGAATGGTTCAATTTTTCAATTAGATTTGGTAACAAGTGAGGTCACACTACTGAGACGTGAAAGACCTCCCCTGTTTGGGCTTCAGATTTACGATCCACGAAAGCAACAAGGTACTGAAGGTTATAGAAAATGTCCCTG